TGTGAGTAAATTCAATCTATGAGAGGCTAAATGTTAGTGACTAACATGAATTTATCTGGAGATTTTGTAGGTAGCTGTTACCCTCCCTTTGCCTAACACATTGAGTTTTATCGCACTGAGTTCCTTACAGTTGTGTCTTTAATTTGAAACCGCATAAAACATAGACTGTTTTTTAAAATGGGTTTGTTTTAATATGTATCTGTTATCTGTCTGTCATCATTTAAACCTTATTTAGTGTTTCTGGGGTCCACTTACTAATTTTGGTTAGATTAATAATTTTCCTTCATTCTGAGTAACTGAAATGACTGCAGATTTTCTGCCATGATACTTGCCCCAGTTTCTGAATTATTAACAACTGTACTGTAATACAGGACCAAATACGTCCCTTTCAGCATTTTGCAGTTAACTCTTTGCTATTAAAGACATTTATTATCATGAAATCAAATAATTTAATTCAATATTTTCCCTGGTTAGATTTTGATCAGATTTTCATCTATGACTGACTGTGTCCTCATTTTTTCTGTGATTGCTTCAGGAGTCATTTTTCTCTTTGGGCTTTGAAAGAACTTGTTTTCTGTTATCTGGAGCAAGAACTAGATTATCACCAGTAGCAGTTTTCTTTTCTATTTTCTTTTTTACATGGTGCCTGTATGACTTTTGATTATTGTTTATGCAGCCCATTCCAATGTCAAATCACCCTTTATATGAATAAATTCTTCTTGATATCCCAATTCTTCCTGATATTCTTCTTTTCCCTTCTCTGTTTTTTTAGCTATGTTGATTTGTCTTGAGGATTTGCCCATGATTCACAGTGGGGAGAAAAAAGCCAGTGCCAGATATGAATGCATCCCAGGTCTTTATTATAGGATTGAGGAATTTAGTAAACATCAGGGTTGAAGTTAGTGCACAGAGCTGTGCACCATTCACCAGGCATATGTGTGTAATGCTATGATAATTACATGATCAGGGTCTGTCTAATGAAATACTGTATAGCGTTGTAAGACTGCTTTTGTATGGTTGTAAAATAGTTCCTGTGATGCTTTGCATCACGCAGATGTGTGCTGGAAAGGATATCTGCAATTTTAAATTCTAGCAGTGTAAATATAATACAGCTGAAAGTAGCAAATACACAGAGGAAAATGGAAATGCTAGTAGTCAGGGAACATTCAAACTTTAGGGATCCAACTCCTGTAACTAAATCAAAAGACTGATTTCCTTAGGCCATTTCCACAGTGTATGCAGAGATTCCTTCACAGGACATTTTGTAGCATTTCAGGAGTTCCTTCAGCCAAATCTCTCTCAAGGAGCCTCTCTCTATTTCCTGTAGGGTAGGATCTGTCTCCTACATACCACTCTTGCTTACTTTTGACATTTGAAAACAGGTGATGTGTATATAACTACTTATCACACATTTTGCTCATTGGGGCTGTAGGGGCAGGTTAGTAAGCTGAATTTCAAAGAAAGCTTTGAACAACAGTAATGCGGTATGTTTTCAGATATTTAAGGGAGTTTCCATAAAGTGTAAGGTGTAAGACAGAAAAAGGCACAAGAAGTTTTCTTGAAAATACACCATGTGGGTGTAAGAGAAGCTGGAAACTGGACTCCTGACACTGAATGGCAGGTGGGAGATAGGAAGGGAAGACATACAAGAAGCATCCCTGAAATTTATTTTTGTATCAGTAAAAAGTGGAGGGTTTTTAAAGTGTTTTAGCCAAAAAAACCATAACAATCAAATTAGACAGCATGATCTAATGGTCTTTTGAGCTATGTTTTATGAAAATTAGCCCCGTTTCAAACATGAGTAAACCACAGTTGTCTTCCTGAAAAAGATTAAGGAGTAATAGGTGTGGTGGTGATCAGCAAGGATGGACCTTGAAAGTAAAGACAAGTGACAGATGCTGCAGAAATATCCAGGGAGAGCTGTGGAGATAGTGATGTGTTCTCCAAGTGATTGACAGGAAAAGGGTTTTTGCAGCAGTTCTCTGAGTGAATGTGTGTGATATGAGCCTGTGTTTGTCAAAAGCAAAGAGAAAAAATGCTGCTGAATCAAAAAACAGAGAGCAAAATCTTGCTGAATCAAAACATGATGATGATGATTAACCAATTGAATACTTTAGCTGATTGGGAGGATTAAGAAAAATACCATCTTGGAAATGTTGCATTGAAAGTATCTGCAAATTATGAATATGAATCTTGGGATTTGGAGTATCTTTGGGATGTAAGGTGATGCTAGAGTTACATGTCTGAGCAATAGGCAGGATGATGGTGTAGCTGTGCAGCTTTGTGTGTGTCACCAACAGTTAAGTCATTCATAGGAAAAACTGTAAAATCTGTCCTCAAATATAATTGTATTATTTGACGTTCTTCACTCCTACAACTGCTTCCCACATAATATTGCTTAGAATATTTCCCCACCTGCCACAAAGGACTGGTCATTAATTGTTGAATTTGATTTGTAATGTCACAGTGGGATGCCTAGAATGAAAAGATGTATTTTGCATTTGCTGGGAAGGCACTGATCTTTTCATTTGGTTTATAGTAATGGTGAACACAGATGCAGTAATTTCCTTACAATTAAATTATGAAGTTGAGCTTTCTAATAACAATACTCCATAGTATTTCAGTAATAATTAATTGATCCTGTTCCTCAGTCTGATTCTGCCTGATGATACAAGAATTCCCCCCAGGAGGAGGAAGCTTTCAGCTTGCTTGAGAATTTTATAGCCAGGTCCCATACCAGCCACAGTCATTTTCCCTTACTCCTTCAGCATGTCCCGGAACTCACAGGTTGAGAAAGGACAGAGGAAATACATCTACTCTTGGCTAACTTTCCAGTGGTGTGTAGTTGTATGGACATGGTAGCAAATAGGTGAGAGTTAGAACTTTTTCTAGGCTTTTCTGACTTAAACTAGGGAAGAGGCAGCTTTAGCATCGAGGAGGCATAGTCTGAAGAAAAAAAATCCAAACAGCTTTTTTGTTGTTGTTGTTGTTGTTTTTCAATAAATTTCTGCCAGGTGTGGAAAACTAAACTGTTAGTGTATGTTTGCAACAGCAAGAAGAAAGGTTGTCTTAGGTGTTGAGTAGTTAGGTGTCCAGATTAAAAAGATAACACTTCAGGAAAAGAAAACCTGCCTTTCTTTGGAAATGTAACTCTGGCAAGGAATTTGATATTAATGGTCCATCAATAGTTTCAAGTTGTTCAAAGAAAGAGCAGTGATAGCCAGATAAGGCAGTAGATTACTCTCTACTTGATGAACATTTGTGAAATCATAAATTCGTTGAGCAAACATAGCCCATGGGCATACTGGGTCCTGGGGCCTCTGCCTGCACCAGGCTGAGCCCTGCCAGCTGCACCTTCCCCCCAAGTCCCTGTGTGCCTACTGAGTGACCCCAGGTTTGAGGCTTGAACTCTGTGGAGATAAAATAACCAAAATCTGACCCTTCATTTGAAGTCCAGTGTTGTAGATTCTTTACTATGTGCCAGTTTCAGACATACATGTGGGATATAACTGGGAATTCAATATTAAAATGGGAGTAAATATTTTGTTATCTGTCCTGAGCTAACACCAATTCTGAAAAGATAAACACATCATTTCTTCACAAATTTTGGAAATCTCATCTGCCTTGCATATCTGAGTTTACGTATATATAAGCGGTCTAAGTTAGTGTGTCATCTTGGCAAAAAGGCTTCTTAATGTCCCTGTGCATGGAAAACTTTGTAAATACTACTATTTTTTTCCTATCCAGAAATAATAGCAGTTTGAGTCCTTATCTCTCTATGAGTGCTGTAAGCAAATCAATGTCCCAGTGAATTTAAGATGTTCATGTCCTCGTGTATCTTGAGTTAATTTTTAAACTTACTAATTTTTTTAATGTAAAGGATCTTGCTGCAGCTTAAGCCATCCTCTAGAAGATACAAAAGTAATCAAAGATTGTTGATTGTCTTGAACATTTTTTGGGTAGAAGGTATATTTAAATTGATTTGTCTGGTTACATGCTGATCTCTGAAGGTGTAATTCTGCTCAAGTAATAGGAAGAATGGTATCATATTCCTGGACAATTCATTCTGTCTTTGGTCTGGCTGTCTCAAAGAGGTCATGCTAGTGAAGGTACAAGGTGCAGTGATGACATTTACAGGCATGGTGAATTGGCCATTGTGGCCTCCCAGGCTGAGAGAGAGCCTCAGGCAGAGAGGAATCATGGACCCCTTCCTGGTCTGTGGGGTGGATGATAAGTGCTGGTGTGGAAGTCTGGATGACACAGTTCCCCATGGTGGAGCCTGTGGGGATTCCATGTGCTTGTGCCACCATAAATCTGATATTCCTGTAGTGTCTTCACTGCTTCTGTCACACTCTCTTGTTGTGTTAAAGTCTGTATTTCAGTGGGCAAACCTCATTATGAGGTAGGCATTTTTTTGCTAGTCTCTCCTCTCATGAGCAGTTGAATGATACTGGGTGCATGCTACCATGGGGCTTTACTGAAACCCTGGGGAGACACACTGCCAAGCTAGAACTTCTCACAACCTTCAGATAGTCATAGCAATGACAGTTCTTATAGAAATATCATTTACTTTCTGTCAGTTTTACAGTGTTTTAAAATACAGGCAGATACCTTATTTTAGTTTTGGCCATCGTGTTACTAAGAGGCTGATGAAGATAAATCACCTTTATTGATTTTAGACCACTCTCTTTTATTAAAAATAATAAAACAGATTACATATAACAACAAAAAAGCAGCAGCACACAGGAGGTGAGCAAACACTGCAGGTACTTGTGTTTGCCTGAAGGGGAATGTGCTGTGATCAATTAATGCTCTATAAATTTCTTGGCATAAGAAATTACTGTTGCCTTTGCTGTAGCTGCAGCATTTTAGGGTAAAAATAGAGATCTTGTCATGGTCTAGGCACTCAGATTATTTTTCTGTGATTAGTGTGGTGTCTCTTTAATTAGAGCTTTGTGCTGTGTTACCTGATTTCATTCTTTTTCTCTTTACATATTTAGGTCCTAGTCCTGTAACTGGATTTGTTCAAATGGACCTCAAGAGCCTGGGGGCCTGATGAAGTCCATGGGACTCTGGTGACTGCAGGTTCTCACTCTGAAGATCTGATTGTAGGCCTGAACCTTAATTTCTATTTTGTTTTCCTGTCTGTTTGCTTCTTAAATGATGAAAATTATCCTTTGAAATGGTGTTGTCTTTGAGTCTCATGCACATCCACTTTAGTAGTGTTCAGACACTGTGTGCTTGGGATGTTGTCAGACATTGTTAAAATATTTCTGTTCTGTTGTGTGCCTAAACCTCCTGATTGCTCTGATTATTGTATTAGATTTTTCTGTTTAGTGCCTTTCTACCTAAAATAGAGAAGATCATCACCTGTGTTTTCAGTTGTGATATTTCTCTTAACTCAAATTTTTAAGAGTAACTGTTGAAACTGTTCAGGTTATTTTTAAAGATACAGGTAGATTTGTTTATTTCTTGCTGATCTCAAAGTATAATATTTTATTTTGCAAACTTGGTAGCCTAGTATTACTAAAAGCTTACAGTACGATGATACTCTGATGTAATAAAATAAGTAGGAAATGACCCTTTTACTAGCTCTCCTGTTGCTTTTCTATTCCTGTGGCTGTGGTTACACAACATACGACTGAGAGTGAAGATATTTTTACTTTTTGAGCCAGTGTATACCTTTTGTTGACAATAAGTGCTGTTCCCTGTCCTATTCCATATTGCAGTTTCACTGAATAGCCTTGGTAGAAGCTGTAGAAAGGACTTTGAAAAATCACATGTAGAGTGTGATCACAAATAGAGTGTGAGAGAAAAAACAGATGTGTTCTATCTCTATACATGTTAGTATTTATGTTCTATATATTTTTAAAGCAAGTGTGTAGCACTGTAGGGTAATTAAGAGGTCCAAAAGATCCAAAACATCCTTTCCATACAGAGAATCAGAGAAACTTTTTTGATTTTTGTAGGCTAATTACAATGATATTAAGGAGCTTCACAGAATTTGATGAATTTTTGCAATATTCCCTGAACAGAAAAGCACCATTGTCCTGTTAGACCAAGGAGAAAACTGAGCCACTTGTTTAGTCAGTAGTAAAGTCAATGATATTAAATGGATTCTCCTGCCTTTTAACCTTATGCCTCTGGCTCCATTTTTCCCTCAAGACCAAAACCTTCCATTGCCATCATCTGCTTTGCATTTCTACGTGAAAGGCCCAAGGTGTTTGTGTTTGGACCCCCAGAAAATGAGGAAGACAAGGCTGGTTGGCCACCTGCCAGGGCGCGAGGTCTGACTCGCTCCTCGCTGCCGGGGCTGCTGGTGAAGGCAGAGGCAGAACTGAGTGTTCTGTGTGGCATTCAACTGCCTTAACCACATGCCCATCGCTCTCTTCCTGTAGTTGTCTGTCTTGTTCTCAGCAGAACTCCTAAAGGCAACGTGTATACCAACCAATAAATAATCCAATTTGATGCACAGCCCTGATTCACTTCCTGAGCTGTGTCCTGCACACACAGAGTGGCTGCAGTCCCATGGAAAAATTCAGCACAGTGCACAAGGCCAAAGAGTAAGGCTGTTAAGCATCTTTAAACTTTGCAATGAAGCAGTGTTCTTTTAATGTCACTTATTCTAGCCATAGCTCAAAGTATTTTTGACAAGAAATAAGAGGAAAATGAAAGCTTTTAGAACTGGTTGTAACCAATTCCCTGTGTAGCCTGTGAACCTGAAATGCAGCTCAGTGAAACACAGAACGTCAGCCGATGGGAGGAGGCTGGCCACCTCCAGGGAGGAAGGGAAGGAAGAAGGATGGGCGCTTAACACCATGGCTGTATCCAACTTGCTTCCAAGTCTCAGGGACTAATGTTGACCCTAGCTCTTTAGTTTTTGTTTTCTCTTCAGCATTCCCAGCCCAAAAATTAGCTCCTCCAGAGCTTCTCAGTGCAATAGACATTGGGGAGTGTTGCTGTAGTCTGCTAATCATTTAAATGAAGAAAAAGAAATCAAAGATGGGCTTTTCTCCTACGTTTTCTTGTTGAAAAATAAGAGGAGACGCTCTCAGTTCTCTCCACGATGAATTTCAGGGGCTATGCTTCTGATCCTTGATCTCACAAATAGATGGCAAAAACTTTAATAATAGAAAATTTTGCTCTTGGTTTACCTCTTTAATCTTCTTCTCAGTCAAATTGTAGTGGCCTATTGTGTTTGGAAGCTACCAAGGATGCTGTGTAGACTCCAGTGCCAGAGCAATTGTGTTGAGAACACAAGCTCATCTTGTTATCTTTTATGTTAGTATTTGGTAGCATAATAAGTTTTTTTTCAGAGAAACCTTGCCAGATCATGGTCTGAGTTTCAGTTTTTGTTAATGTCTGCTTTATCTATGGATAGTGCTTGAGATTTGGTCACCAAGCCTAGTGATTTGCTATGAGGAAAACAAAACAACCTCATACTTTGCTTTTGCATGTTTTTCTCTGGGATATACAGTCTTTTCTTGCAAGTAATGCAGCAACTTCCTGTAAAAAGAGCTGGTGAGACTACTATTAGGGAAAATTTGTTCAACCCATTCACTGAAATTCATAAAAATCAAAATACTTGCAGAAGTGTTCACTGGCATTTTACTGCAAAATTAAAATGAAAACCCTGATTTTAGTACTGATATTTTTTTAAATAAGGATCAGTTTTCAACATTTCATAGCTGTAAAGAAATTGTGGGAATGGGACAAAACAGTCTTCATACGTAGAATCACCTTAAGTCTGTATCTCAACTCAACACTTTGTATCATGAAACCATGGCCTGAAACTGCTGCCTGTCATATCAGATAATATTATCACTGATTTATATGTTACTTCATCTTACCTGCTTTTTGTAACCTTTTGGCAGGGATCACTTTTTTTTTCTGTGTTTGAGATGTCTTCTTTTGGTTTGGGGTTGAGTTTTTTTATCTGAGCACCTAACTGAGCCCTGATCCATGATTTGGCTTCCAGGTACTAGGAAAATACGAGTACTAATCATGCCTGCTGCTAAAAATTTTCTACGTTATTTCATTTGCATTTGTTTGCCTTCAACTTCTAGTCATTGATTCTTGTTATGCCTTCTCTGATGGATTGAAGAGCTCTTTAGGACTCACTATTTTCTCCCCAGGAAGGTGCTTTTACCCTGTGATCAAGTTACTTCTCAATATTATTTTTGTTGTTGTTTGTTTGTTTTTAGACAAAGCTAAACAGATTGTGCTTTTTAGGGTTCTCATTATTTTTTAACATTCCTGGATTATTTTTGTGGCTCTTTTCTATCCATAAAACTCTGTTTTACTAGTCACATGCACAGGAGTAAAATTACCTCTCTAGTTCCTCTTATGTTAGTATGGTTAGAATTTGATAGTATTGCAAGGTCAGATAAAAAAAACCCTAAAAAAAAACCTAATATGACTTCTACACACCTGAGTGTTGTTATTAGAGGAAGATGGATGGATGACTATAAAAACATTTAAATATTTTTAAGTGATCCACACATCAGCAAGAGTGGGTGTGCAGGAGGGATGCCAAAAGTATTTATGTTGAGGTTTTTAAGGAGCTAGAAGTGAAAATAAAAACAAGAATTTTAATTGTAAAGCAACAATAATGCATCAAAACTTAAGTGCTGTGTTTAGCATAGTAATGCATAGTTGCAGAAATTTTGTAGGACTGAATGAAAAATGTTTGTTATTAACACACTGTTGTGGGTCACTGGAAACAGAGACTAAGTGGATGTGAATGTACATATCCCTTACATCCATTTAATCCTATAAGTAGCCACTTGCTTATATTTGGAAACCCAAGAACAGTTATGTGAGCTGTTCTGCTGAAGTAGAAAAAATAACATAGTATTAAGAATTCTGTTTTTTATAAAGATTGTCTCTGTTAAGTCATGTAAAAGTTCAAACAATCAAAATCCAGAGCTTCAAAGAGCCTCTTGAAAGTTTCACTGCTTCAGTATTTCTTTCCAAAGGGGTGGCTATTTGTTTTGATTTGCATCCATACTTTAGGACAAGGTTAAGTTAAATTTACATGAACAAGACTAATCAGATGCCTGTCTAGTCAAAACATCTCAGCCTACCCATTGATTTTCATGCATATCATGCATATAAGCATCTGAATTGGAACTGCACTCCCAGCCCCACACTTATTCCTCCTGGAAACCATCAGATTTTACATTAAATCCAACTTCAGACTGTTTAAACTCTCAGTGGTGCAGATTAGTTTGATGCAAGTCTGTCTAATGTTGTGTCTGACAAAACTTTGAGGTCACCACATTGACTTTCTGTCCAAACTGACTTGAGTTTTGACTTGGAAAAGAATGCATCTTTCCCTTGTGGCAGCATTCCCTCTGTGAAATTCGGGGCATATTCCACAAAGGTCTTCATTTGTTTTAGCAAAATGAAAGTTCATGGAAACATGGTAAATGAGGAAGGAATGAGATTTAAAGTAATGCAAAAAGACTTAGAATCCTCTAAAACCCATGGAAAAGAAGTAAAGGTGAACAAGAACTGAGCTCTAGTTAAGAAAGTACTAAGCTAAACATATTTAGACTATTAATTTTTGTGTGTTAATGGAAAAGTTATTACTAAGATTTTGGTAACACTGGGTGACTTGGGGTAGGAGTTGTCTCCCTGCAATGATGAGCTCACAGAGCCCTTTTCAAAACAATCAACTGCTGTTAGAAAAGACAAGAGAAGTGGGCATTCCCTTGAATGCTTTTTGGTATCACAGGCTTAGTCAGTGTAAAGTATGTGATTTCTCACATCCTATGTTACCTCAGTTTCTTCTCCTGAGTCTCAGAAATCTTGGAATAGAGCCATTAAATAGAAGGAGATGACATCCCTGGGAAAGATGATGGTAGAAGAAACAGGATGGTTATGACAGAAGCTGGAGACAGTCTTTGTGAGAATACTAGCATGACTTCTTTTCTCTGAACAGCCAGTTAAAAGGTGATCCTCCTTTCTGAGCCAGTAATAAATTGCTATGGCTGCATGTAATGGTGGGTGTTTCACCAATGCAGCACCCAGTGCAGTGCAGTACGTACTGGAAAACCATTTTGGAAGTGGGGTCTGACTAGAAAATTACTTTCCCATTAAATAATGCTACTGATGACTATTTGGTGAGCAGATACAGCTGCCAGAATGCATTTTTCAGTTTATCTTTGCACAGCAGTGTGGACAAAAGAAGAGAAGAGAAGGGGCACAGAAAGGAGAGAGATGGAGAAAGGATGAGAGTTTTTTGAGGCTGCTTCTGCTCTTCCAAGATATGTTCTTTGCCCTCCCTAGTGAGTTATATGCTGATAACTTGTAGTACTTGTAATCTGCCTTGGGCACCATGTCTCCATGGGAAGTTAGCAGGTTTATGAAGTTCCTGAGGATGTGGACAACTCCTCGAATGGATGAGACTCTCCATTGCATTGTAAGGGATGAGACAGTCACTACTCAGTGACAGCCATGTACACTTGGCTGTATTCAGCAAAAGGGTAAGACTGTCCTGTCAAACTGTGCAAGTTCCCCTTTTGAAGCTGTGAGCTAATGGTTATTTCCTCCAGCAGTTCCTGTAACTGCTTGTATGCAGTCAACATTCACAGTAGGTCCTGAGTAGTTACTAGAGTGATGTATGTTGCATCCTGCTTTTTGGGTATCAGCATCCCATAAATTCCCATAAGACTGTGCCAGGATTTCTAGTATCAGGGACTGTGTTGGCATGAAGGTGTCATCCTCATATCCAGAAGCAGATGGTTTAGTCTGTGTTGCAGTCCCATGTAAAGAACCAGAGTACAGGTCAGGTGATGGTTATATATTGTGTATTTTCAGAAAACATATAGATAAGGAAACAGTAGCCCTGTCCCAGTACTGTACCTAGCTCTAGGAATCTTTCCAGTTTGACATGGAGCACTGAGATCTGTCTCAAGGAGTCCTGGCTGTGACAGCATGTCCTGGTGAATCTTCTGGGCTGGATAAAATAGGAAGGAAGGGCATCTCAGGTATTTGTCATCACCTTAGGCCTGGTTGGATTCTGTCTGTTCAGGTGTAGAAGTCTAACAGTGGTGTCAGCATCAGAAGCTTGCCTGCCTCTCTACTGGAGTGAGTGAGACAGAGTACTAACACCTTTAGAGCAGTGTC